CAAGTGGCAAATCAGAGCAGCCACTGGGCCTTTGGCCACTTGCCATGGATGTTGAGCTTGAAGGAGTCTCTCTCTGATGGCAGTCCAGGATCGTTCCAGAGTTTTTTGTGTAGCCTCCGGCCAGTTTCCATAGAAACGCCGGTAGATGCGGACCCGAGACATGAAAGAGCCATAGTCTGGATCCTGATGCTTGCTGTGCATGTCGAAGAGGATGTCAATGTTCCCGTGCGTTGTAGGCCAATCTGGCGCCCCATGACAGCTTTCAGGCGACGACGGACCTGTGGTGCCAGGCCCATGGCCTCGTGGCCCCAGCTGATCCCTGCAACTATGCTGCCCTTATACAATTTCAATCTGATGCTCCTCAGAGGGATCTTCAAGGTGGCAAGCTTTTTGGTCTTCCTGGATGCCTTGATTCGTCTGCCCTTGAGCGTCTGGATCCGTCTGAGTCTCCCCGCTGTACAGTCGACGCCGAGGTCTCTCATCACGTCGTGTACTCTTGGGCCATCTTTGGGGAGCTGCTGTTGGAGGAGTCTTTTGGCCTCACTGTTTGATGCAATGAAGCCCGTCTTGTGTGCTGAGATCTTGAGATTGTCAGCTTCCAGGAGTTGCCGGATGTACTCATAAGCTTGTAGAGCTATCCTTGTTGCTTGGGCGGGATCACGATGAACCACATCAAAACTCAGGTCATCGATCCATAGGTCAGTGTGCAGGTGCGGGTATTTCTTGTGGAAGGCCTTCAAGGCATCATACAAGTAGATTTTTGCCGCCAAAGGGGCTTGAGGGTCCCCAGCCAAGATGCCATTCTAGGCCAGAAGTGATTTGATGCCTCACCCTCTGCTTCAAGGATGCGTCCTCCCAAGTACAGCTGCATGGCTAGTGCTGCATGAGTCTTGGGGTAGTCCGAATCCAGCCACCTGGTGCATAGTTTCTGCAGGCGATCCTGTCGTAGAAGTTGGACATGTCAAGGAGGACCGAGACCACTGTTTTCCTCATGGCATTGTGGTGCTCCGTGAGGAATGCTCGCTTCAGGGCAACCTGCAAGCATTCAGTGCCAGGGACTGCCCTTTCCCAATGGTATTCAGCCAGGATGGTGGTTTGCCAACGCTTGGTGACGGATTGGCGAAGACGACACCAAAGCCGATACATAGTTGCTACCAATGCTATTGGTCTTTCAATCTCGATTTGGGCAAAAGGGCAATGAGGGATGTGGCCCATTGCTGTGGCAAAACAGCTTGCGCCTCTATCTCGCGGAAGATCTGGACAAGATCCTGCGTTGCCTGGTACGGTAGGGCTTTGAGAAAGTCAAAGCTGATCCCATCAAGGCCCGGCGCTTTGAGGCTGAGGTGTTTGATCGTAGCCTAGACCTGTTTCGGGTGTAAAGGTGGCATATTCTTGCCTTGCTCTGACCTTGCTTGATCAGTTCTTGTAGGTCAGGGAGCTGTTGAGGTGCATCTTGGATTCCCCATATGTTGCCCCATTGCTTCGTCCTGCCATTCATCATGCCAGTGTTCTGGTAGATGCCATCCAAGGCGCTGAAGGTGTTGTAGGGGTGGATCGGACTTGTGGTGCTGCAGTTGTTGTTGCAGCCGCACTTCAACTTGGCCCCAGAAGGCCAGGCTGCCTCTCTTCCAAATCCAAGGTTTGCTCGGATCTTGCAAAGGCTTTGTCAGCAGCTGGAGCTGAGTGCCCCTCCCAAAAGTGGGCTTGTCCAGCCCTTGCAGCACATAGCGTTCAATCTTGTGGTACAAGGCGCCAAGTTTCTGTGTCATTGGTGTTGGTTTGGTCTCCATCCATTGGACAGGAACATCTCGATATTCAAGTTGATGCCACTCCAAGACCGGATTGGTGAGCTTTGGCGCTGGGCTATATTTTTGGATCTGCTGGACCACCGGTGCGGCAAGATCACTCATCCAATGGAAAAGCAGTTGTGCATGAGGCTTGAAAGGCACTTCCCATCCCGTCTTGACCGTCAAGTCAGCAATGAGGGTGTTGGAAACCAGAGCCCAGTCTAACTCATTGCCACTGTGGCGCGTGGCTTCTCCTGTGGCCAGCACCTGTACCTGCATGATGGCGCCCATGGTGGTCGTCGTGAACTCTTCAGGGGTGATGTTGAAATCACCGCAGATGATGACTGGCTTCACCACACTGGTGACAAAGGAGAGCAAGCCAGCCCACAGCTGAGCATTTGTATGCCCTTGGATGCCCTCACCTGTGCGGAAATAGGCCATGACCATGAGGACTTCAGCTTCAGCAAAGGTCCATTGCACTGCATACCAACCACAGCCGTCAATGATCTGCTTGTGGACATAGTGGAAGTGCATGTGGGCCGGATAGACCAACAAATGACCTCCATGCGTGCCTCCTTTACTGCTTTCTGCTGCTGGATGACCCAGCACCCCAAACCCACGGGCAGTGAGCCACTGTTGAACCTTCTGGTAGTCCTCAAGAGCAAGGTGGGTTTCGACCATGAGGATTGGGGCTCGTGGCCTAGTGAGCAGCCATTGTCGAACTGGTTGTCCAAGATTGGTGACATTAGCAAATGCAAAGCTGACTCCGTTGAGGCATCTCCTTTTTGCTGGTTGTTCAATTTCTTCAATCTTTGCTCCACTTGGGAATTCACATCGGACTTCAGGTGGTAAGTGCTCTGTTGAAGGCAGGGCCCACACTTGAACTATTTGTCTCTTGATGCCCTCGTTGATGTCCGGCAAAGGAAGTATCATCGACCAGCCAGTAGACCCCCCGGTACACAAAGATGGCAAAGTAGTGACCATTTTGGTGCTGATTGCCCGAGTGACAGAGCAGCCCCACCAAAGAGTACTGTTCCGTTTTGGTTTCATTTCCATCCATCGTGTAGGGGAGGTTGAAGATCGTGGGGACATTGAGGATCTGATGGTGTTTTGTCCACTCACCGTCAACCAGATCATATCGTCCAATTTGTCCAACCCAAAGGCCCCTGCCATCAGCCACCTGGCCTTCACCCTGATTTGCCCACTGTGCAATCAGTTGTTCAAGCTCTTGTTCCGGTTGGTCCCCTGAGATCAAATGAATAGGGAAGGACTTCCTCTTGTGCACTTGCTGCCTGCGGTCTACGTGGTAGTAGCCCGGGATGATGCGAGGGCCATCAGGAAATGCGACGCATCATCTTGAATCTGATCATCAAACTGCTGCCAAAGTGGCCTCAGGGTCGGTAGTGAAGTGATGTTCACCACTCCATCGTCTTGAAGAGCCGCATGAACTGCTGCTCCGGTCTTGTTCCATAGCTGCGGACCGCCCATGAAGCTGCCCGCCCAGGACCAAAGTCTGAAAGGGGCATTAGCAAAGCACCGGTTGCGGTAGTTCCCAGTGCGGCACTGGAGGTTCTGGATCACGTAGTCCAGAGGTGATCTGGCAGCCATGGTCGGAATGACCACTGACTGCAGGTCGTCTTCTTCTTGAGCAGGGTCATGGTGTCATCCAAGGGCCCCGCTCCCCCACAAAATCTTGGGACAGCCGTGAGCTGTTCCATCAAGGCCAGTTCGGCATGAACCGGCGCCCCAAAAGCACAGGTACTTGGCCTGTGATGAACCCTGCTGCTCTGAGCCTCTATGCACATGTCCAGCCATAGACCAAAGATCATCATGTTCCCCTAGATGAGCAGTCCATGTCTGACATGTGTCAACCCCTGTTGCCATCTCATTCTCAATCGAGTTACCGAGACTTCCTTCTTTTTGCTGCGGTCTCCTCTAGCTGTCGTGCAAAGTCAGTGACCTGCTCAGCTGTGGCCTGTAGGCCAACTTCGGCCAAGATGGTCACCAGTTTCTCTGGTGCTAGAGTGAAATCCTGGTCCTCGTCAACTGCTTCGTTCTTCTCCTTCTCAAGCTGCTGGTTGTATTTGGTAGTTGTCTCTTGAAGTTCTTTTTGCGCCTGTTCGATCTTGTTCTGCATGTCTTTGAGCTCTTGGAGTAGTGCCGTGTATTGGGCCTTGACTGCATCAGCCTTTTGTTGGAGCACTGCTTTCTTTTCTGCCAGCTGCTTGAGGTTTCCCACACAGACTGCTTGAGCTTGGTGGCCAGAGTGGGTTCTGGCTTGTCCGGCTCAACCAGCTTCTCGACGGCCTCCTTGAGGTCACTTGGCAAGCTCTGCAAATGTTGCTTGATCACACTGGGTTTTGAGAGCCTGAGGTAGTGTCTCCCAATGTTCTTGAACTGCTTTCTGAAGGACTGACTGCTTGACCTTAGTCTTCTTGGATCGACTGCCTCCTGTGAGTCCAGGTGGTGGGTCCAGAAAGGCCTGCTTATAGGTCCGGGGTGGCCATTGATGGCCAGTGCTGTTGAAGTTCCATTTGGCCCACTGCGTGGTTCTACGGTGGTTCTTCAAATCAGCTAGACTGCGTTCTTGCCATGGATGTCCGCATTGTTTGCATGTCAGTCCTGGTTGAGCTATCACCCTTGTCTGCCGGATCCAGCTTTGATGGCACGATTTGCATACCAAGTAGTGCTGCTTCATGAACTTGTTCTCGTGTGTGGTCTCTATGTTCTGCACCTCCACGATCACACCACTATGGCGCGTTGCGGCTGCGGCAGCTGGATTTGTATGGGACCAGCTTGAGAACCTGAGATGGCTTGAGCCTTGAGCCTATATAATATATATATATATAGAGTGTAGATAGGTGCATATATATATATATATCCATTGCTGCCGCAATCAGTGTCCACAATTGTTTTGTACACCGTTTGCACCGTTTACACCATCTACACTGTTTACACCGTTGACACCGGCTACACCGTGTATATACACCGTTTACGCCGTGTACACCGTTGAAACCGTTACCGGCGTATCCGGTGCAAACAGCGTGGCCAGCGTAACCAGCGCAACTAGCCACCGCCAGCGTACCAGAGTACAATCACTCGCGGACACGCTTTGCCACGTCGCCCTATATATATATCTATATTTAAATAATGCATATGTTTTGTGTGGATGTGTGGATCCAGAGAATGTGAGTTTTGGAGGCCTCCACTGGCATGACCACTGGCAGCTGGTTCGTGGCTTTTGGCAGCTCAGAGCTGGAAGAGGCACTGGAAAACGCAGAAGAAACGCTCAGGGAGGCCTATGTGATCCCTGCCGCCGTGAAGCTTCAGGACTCAAATCCCTTTGTACCCACCTTTATTTGGAGAAGAGATCGCCCAAAGTCAGGACAGCAAAGAGCTGCAGAAGCGCTTCAACATCAAGGAGGCATGGTCGAGCCCAAGAATTGCTCAAGACTCATTTTCGAGCACACCAACTGAGGGCAGACAGAAGCACACACGGACCCTCACATCTCAAAGCCATAGTATGTCGATGTAGGTTGGCATCACTGGTAGCCCATGTTGTTCTCTTTTGGTCGTCAACCAGTGCCGGGCGTTATACTCAACTCGTTCAATGGACACATCGTCGCATCGTATCATGTCGTGCCTTCGCCGCCTTCGCACCTTTTCTGTAGCCTGTGGCCTTGCTCTTTGCGAAGCACCAGCTCTACCGCTACCATGGGCCAAAGATTGCTGAAGAGCTGGTGGCCTTTGCTGAAAAGGCTTTGAATGGGGAAATGCAAGGGGAGCAGATCCCTCCAGAGGTCAGCTTCTTAGGAAAGCTCCTCGGCGGCGTTAGTGTAACTTGTCACCAACTGACAAACTGACAGTCGCGACTTTCAGGAAGGTTTGGAATCAGTGGAATTATCACAAGCTCATGACGCTGTTCCGAAATTGTTTCGAGCAGGCGCACTCATGCTAAGGTTGTGGCAGCGTTTCATGGGTCAAGGTGAGCTGTAATGGCCTCGCAGAAAAAACGGCATGCACTGCGATCTAGGATCCACATTGCAAACTTTGAAAAAACCAATGTCGCTGTGAGTATGTCTTTTGCATACCTCCCTGAAGTGACATGGTGTGAATCGTGACCTGGTGCTTATGATTTTCTCAGGTTTGCTGCCTGCCAGCTGTTATATAGTTGATGGCAAATGACTGCACATAGAGTGGACGACCAAACTCCGACCGGAGCATTACCCGTTACCCTTTATATAAGCTGCAAGCAATACAAGGCTCTTATATAAGTGCATTACTACTATATAGTAACAAGAAGCTATTAGGAACAAGTGCATCGCTACTGGTAACAAAGGCATCGCTATTAGTAACAAATGCATCACTACTAGTAACAAGGGCATCGATATGAGTAACAATTGCAACCCTACTAGTAACAAGGGCATCGCTATATTAGAAACAACTGCAACACTGCTAGTAACAAGCGCATCGCTGCGCTATTAGTAAGAATTGCATCGCTGCTAGCAACAAGGGCATTGCTATGAGTAACAACTGCATCGCTACTAGAAACAAGGGCATCGCTACTCGTAA